GAAAGGAGACTGGAAAAGCCAAAAAAAGAAGGTGATGAGAGGAAACGAGAGCAACACGAAGGATTTAATTCAACACCAACCTCTGAAGTTCTGCTGCGTGACACAGCGTGAACAACCTGGGTCTGTAACGTGCAGCAAGGAGAGGTCCCCAGGAGGTCCCCCTGGGCCAGAAAGCTCAACTTGGTGCTCTTCTGCGAGGACCTGGTGCCACGGGTCCATGTAATCACAGCGTGGGCACAAATGCCACCAGCCAGCACGGTTCGCTAGGGACCGCTCCACACTACCTGTGTGCTAAACATATCCATTTTTGTGGAGAAAGAACAGCTCTATTCAGAGCAGGAATCACTAATCCGCAGTGCGCTGCCAGGCCATATGCTGCACGTATGCATCTCATATCCTGGCAGCAGGACAAACGCTTTCCAATGCAGCTCTCGTTGCTGCATTTGCACCTCCAGCTTTGATGGGATTATTACAAGTGACTCAGATCCTTCTGTGTTGCATTTTTGATATCAGCCTTGTCCCGAGGGTAAATATTCCATCTGGAGTTGGCTGTGCTGTGCTGTCAGCAATTCCCAAAGTTATGATGCAACTTGGCACCGCAGTTTGGATAACAGACTGATACTGTGGAGCCAGGCAGGCCTGCTCCACACAAGGGTGGACACGTGAGCAACAAGTATCAGAAGAGATGTCACTTGGATTTTTGAAGCAGATGGCTATTTTTAGGCAAAACCAACATTTCTCTTCAATTGCCATTTACTTTTAAGAAAATAAAAATAAAACAAAAACAAAAGGGAGTCTTGTGATTCCTGGAAATTTGTCTCGGTTGCAGCAGGAGGAAAAAAAATCTGAATTTGATGCCTGGCTCATTTCTGCGACCATTGATTTTAATGGCATTAGTGAGTATCCCTTTGAGATGTCTCTTTGGTTTGTGTGCTGTTAACAAATCACAAATCCGCTCTCCCAGCTGTCCACATTTACTTGAGAACTCCCCACTGCTCTGCAAACTCCTGGTATTTAGCCTAAGTGCAGCTTTCAGCTAGGTTTAGGGGAAAGAGGACTACAAAATGGGAAAGAAGACTCAAGTTGGAAGAGTCTTGAAGGCAGCAGTCAGCCCTGGAGGGTTATGTGGGATCCATGGAGAGGCAGATCACGGGACACGAGGAAGGAGGAGACAGAAGAGCTGGAATGTGCCCGGCAGAAGCCCTGGTGCAGGGCTGAGCAGGAAGAGGAGGACGAGGAGCCCTGGGACCTCCAAAGACTGAGCTCCAAGGAAGAGCTCAAAAAACGTGCAGGACTTTACAGCAAGCTCTGCAAGACACATCCAGGCAAACCAGGACTTCCCTAGCTCAAGGGAAGAGCTGCGGGATCTCATGGTGTTCATGGGGTTACACTGCAGAGACATGACTTAGTTTTCAATGGATCCTCAACATACCCGGATTACTGCCCTATTCTGCAGTATGTTTCTATTAACAAGACAGCCCACAAGACCCAGATAGCAGAAAGCATTTTGGATGAGCTGTCTCTGGCCCAGTTGCCACTTTGAACTGAGCTGTCATCTGTAAAAATGCTGCTGTCCTGCTGAGAGCAGGTATAAAATTAGCAACACTCATTTCATTCGGATAATTCTATATCCTTTTCTTCCTTCTTTTTTTTTTTTTCCTCCATGACACCCTATGGGCACTTTTGAATTGCTTATTTGGAAATCTTGGCCTTATTTCCACTCATAATGACCCTGTGCCCTCGCTCCACCGCGATGTCCCTGCTGCTTCCTTTCATGGTGCCCTGCAACTGTCCCACGCCAGATCTGCTCCTGCCAGCACCATGCAGTGACCGTCCATTTCCTCAGCTTTGGACTCAAAATTCAGGTTGCTCAGAGGTGAGGCTTTCTGTAGACTCCGTTCACCGCAAGGTTATTATAAGGCTACGCTTTCCAATGTACAGTGGATGAATCAGCTCAAAAATTATCTCTTATCAGATCAAAAATTATCTAAGATGAAACATCCTGACCAGGCACAAAGCTACAGGTGACAGGATGGAAATCAGCACTCTTGCTCACGCAGGAGCTCTGTCTGGGTGGATTAACTCCACAGGAACATTACTGGTGATGCAAATAGATCAGCAACTGAGCACGAAGGCCAGGCGAAAATATCGATGAGGTCACTAGTGAACATTAAATGTTAACAGCTCCAGATCCGAATATCGGGAGCAATGGAGGGGACAGTGCAAATCTTGCACGGAGCGGGTAGGGTGAGCGGCTGTTTTTGTTCTGGTAGAAATTAGAAATCCAGGGGTTCTGGGATGGTACCCCTGAAAACAATAAGTACTCCACGAAAGGACACCTGCTTGATTGCCAGGTTCTAAATACCATAAGGTTTTTCATAAAATCAAAGCATAACGTAGTGGTCGTGGTATGCACATTACAGGGAGGGGAGAAGGGAACGATTGGCAGCTTTGGATGAATATGCCAAAGCTCTAAAGAGAAGGAAGACCACAGTGCTGTGCCCATCTACCCTTCCACGAGATGTTGGGGGAAACGAGCTGCCTGGTTGTTGGTCACCAGAGAACCCCCAAACGCCAACACGCGAGAACGCGGCCACCACGTCCGCGGCGTCACCTGTCTCTCCCCAGAGGCTGTCGAAGCTGTTGATCTGTGCTCGCTCCACCTCCTCCTCATCCTTTTCGGGAAGATCCAGCAAGTAGGAGACAATCTGAAACAAAACGACGTGTCGAGCTCACAGGACACATGCCACACGTTCCACACAAACTGCTGACAGCCTAACGCAGGCGGCTCTGAATACGCTATGGAGCCGTATCCTCAATATCCAGATCCATAGCATATCCATATATGCTACGGAGTTCCTTACCCTCAGGCTCTAGCCAAGATGAAGTTACTTCTAGAAACTTTTAGTGCCTTTCTAGCAGATTTTTTAGCAGTTTTTTTTCCAGCAGATTGTTACAAAGAATTCCGCTACGATTTCCTTCCGGCTGCGGATGCTTGAAACCCCAGAGAGACAAATTAACTTCTTCAAAGGGTAAATTAAAGGATTTAATTGACTGAAAGCTGGCAGAAAATGTCAGTGTCTGGATCATGCGACGTGAGAAAGCAAGAGGCTATGAAGAAAAATTGAGATTTTCTTTTAGCGATAGAAGGACCCAAACCATTTCTCTTGTTCTGGGAGAAGTAATTACCTGCGGTGCCCTCAGTGACAATGAGCATTTTTGGAGGATTTGGAGGAAACGGCGCCCGCATGCAGCTGTGGGCACAGGCTACCTGGAGGAACACGAGCCAGGACCAGCTGAGGCCCTACCAGTGATGAAGATCATTTTAAAACATGTCAAATACTTGGTTTGTGGCCAAAGTGGGAGAAAACTAGCAAATTAATAACCAGCTTATGTCTCCTAGTACTGCAAGCATCTCAAAGCAGGGACTTCTTAGGGTATTTTCTATGAACAGACCTGGCATAACATAAATAATTCATAGACTGTTTTTTAAAAGCTATAAAGGTGACTAGAGCGATGTGGGGGGAAGCCCCCACTTGACAAGCTGTGTGCTCTGTTTCAAACCACCCTCGGAGCAGAGATCTTGCGCTTTTGAAGTCACATCTGCTCCTGATCAGCCCAGCTCTCAGTCACTTCGCTAATAGGAATCGCCCGGCTTGCTTTAATTATCTCCTCCGATCTGATCTCATTACCTCCGCTTTCCCGGGCGAGACTTGGCGAAAGCAAAACCCAGCTCCAGCAAACGAGCGGAGCACGATTCCGTAAAGGCAGCGCCCCACACGATTCCCTCCCAGCAGGAAAACACGCAGCGTTTTCCGCACTGGCGCATTCCCATGCGGGACGGGAGGAGGGAATTCTTCCTTCAGCTCTTCCCAAACGTTTGGTCCCGACCTTGGGAGCCCTGTGCCTGCCTGGCAGCACCGGAACAGCAACGTGCTGTTCCCCTCCCTTGTTTGAAGGTTTCTTCCAACAGCACCAAGACTTGCTGCACTTCCAATCTGGGAAGCCTGCCCAGATGCTGGCTTTGCCAAGAGATGTGCAAACCCCCGTCCCTGCCATGGGAAGGGGAGGACCGGAGGCAGCGGCACCAGTTCCGCCCCCAGACCCTCTTGGCTCCGTATTCTGCCCGGGAAGCGCGCTCCAAGGAGGCCTGGAGCATCCCTACCTCCGTGTAGCCCATGCTGGCCGCGGCGATGAGGGCTTGCTGGATGGCGTGGCTCTTCTTGAACACTCCCTGCTGCTGCCCAGCCATGCTCCAGTCGCACTGGATGAGGAACTTCACCACTTCCAGGTGGCCCCGCAGAGCGGCGTGGACCAGGGCGCACTGACCGTTCTTGTCCAAGTGATCCACCTTGGAAAGGGAGAATGGCAAAGAGCTATTAGGGAAAAGCCCAGGCAAAGCGGCTTCGTTCCCTAAGAGTTTCCAGTCCGGGTTTCAAATAATGCCACATATGCAAAACGTGCATTTTTCTAGTAAACTATCTCTTCTGCGACCAAAAAACCACCATTGCAAAGAAATTCTGCCCCGCACTGAGGCATCCTCTTGGCCACAAGTGTTTGTTTTGGGTAAGTTTCCACTTTTTTTCAGCTGCAAGTTTTTTTTTTTTTCCAGACTCACAAGCTGAAAGAAAAGCATTTTGCCCTTGTGTCCCGACATGCACCAACCCTATATTGTTGGGGGTTGAAATTAGCCACGCGGATGTTGCCTCCCTCGTCCGAGTCCACAAAAGGCAAGGCAGTGTGTTTTTGAAGATACCATTTCACAATGTTCCAGGAGGGACAAAAGCACCTCGGCTCGTAGCACCAAGGGGAAGTCCTGAGGAAGGATTTCATCCGGCAGGAACGACACTCAGAGGCTTTTTGGGCCAGGGTTTCACTGCTGAATCTTTTTTTTCCCTTACACTCTCCTCACTTTATTCTGGGCAAACAACAAGAGCTAAATGGGTCCCTCAGTCACCCCCATGTTCACACTAAATCTGTATAACCCCTTCATTTGCTTTTTGAAGTGAAACTAAACATATAGAGAGAAACCACAAATTGTTTCCAGGAGGTCCTGCTTCAAAAACCACGCGATTCCTCTCTGCAACAGAAAGTTTTAGCTTGACTCATTACATACAATTAAAAACACAAAACATCCACCTCAAAGCTAAACAAAGGGGATTTTTCTTGGATGAGTCCACTGGAAGTTTTGGGAAAAATGTTGCTGAATGTGGTATTTAAAGGACGTGCTGTCCTGCCGAGGCAACGCTGCCGTTGGAACCTTGCAAGGTTCAAGGACTTCTCCAGCCATCCTTCTGACGGCCTGTAGTGCAGCTCCTATATGAGACCTGGATTCTGGAATAGGAATTCCAGCCTTTCCGCAGTCATTTGCCTTTGGTGTCAACGTTTCCAAAGCGCTGCCTACGAAGGACGTTCTTTAGTAATGTAATAGCAAGTAGATACACCAAAACCACCTCCTGGGAGATACCTCAGTACCCCAGAAGACAGAAGACTATGGCCAGGCCAGGGATTTCCCAGAACTATTTCCTACAGACCCCTTGGTACCGGTTAAATAATCTGAGTGCATTGGTGCAATGGAGTTGGGGATATCCAAATATCCCTGCAAACCCCAAATCGCGCTCGCCCGGGCTGCCTGTTTGCCCGGGCCGCCTGTTCGCCCAGACTGCCTGTTCGCCTGGGCTGCCTGTTCGCCCATGCCATGTACAGCGCTGGCAAAGGCTCTCCAGGAGCCCAATGCCGGGAGAGGGGAAGAGCCGAGAATGAGACTTTCCTCCCCTGCTATGGAAGAGGTTCCTCCAGGCAGGTAGGACACAGCACACTGCAGGCATTCTTTTCTGCCATTTTTACACTCCTGCAGCTGCACTTTGTTCTCCAAAGCCCAAACTTTGCCGTTCCAGCCTCGCTGACGTTGGCTGCCCACGGAGACCTGCGTTCCTTCCAAGACCATCCCCTGCAGAGCAGCAGGGACTCGGCAGCTCCTGCCCGTCCTCCCGCCACGCACGGGGCGGCGAGGCCGGGGACAGGGACCTGGCACGGTACCTTGGCCCTCTTCTTGCACAGCAGCACAACGATGCTCAGGAAGCCGGCGGCGGCCGCGGAAAGCGGCGTCTACGTTGGCCCCAAACTCCAGGAGCAGGGCCACCATCTCCGTGTAGCCCAGGTGAGACTGGACGCACAAAATCGGGGCGTTGTTCAGAACTTCGGTCCGATAATTTACATTTGCACCTCCTAAAATCAGCAGCCGACTGACCTACGCGGGGGAGAAAAGCTCCTGTTAGTGAAGTTTTATTGGAGACATTAGCTTCTTGTCAGCACAACCGACGAAATTCAAGCAGAACTCGTGGCACATTCCAAAATAAATATAAAAGGACATAAAATGCCCAGTAAAATGGCCTGCCAAATATATGGCCCTATTTTAGGGAGAGCGAACAGCTTAATCTTTCACCTGAATGGTTGGTAAGTGCTTTGAACAGTGCAATATGCTCCAAATCCCATCAGAGGCACTACGACACATTGCAACAGCTGGGGACATCAAGGGTCTCACGTGAGGATGGGAAATTAAACCCCATGGTTGGACTGTATTTGGTGCCCTTCCCACGGGATCCTCTTGCGGAGCTGCTGTTGGTCACCCCACCAGCGTTCCTGGCTGGCTCCTTGCATCGTGACCTCCAGGTACAGACATTATCCTGCCCTTGGGATATCCCCTAGCCAGGAAGCTTCTCATTTGAGCTCTGAGCCATCATTTGAGCTCTGAGCCATCTCTCCTCTGCCAGCGGTACCTTTATGTTTGGGGTGTAGAGATTCCTCAGTGATGCCAAAGCCATTGAGAGCCCTTCGGTGCTGTAGGAGATCCAGAGCCCTTGCAGGATGGAGGAAGATACCCCGACTTTTTTACTAAGCCCCTAAAAGAAGAGAAAAGATGACTTGGATCTAATCCCCCACAGATCCACTTTGCCACTGGGAGAGAACATTAAGAGAGCACGTCA